GGCATTAAAGTTGACCAGCCAATTCTTGCCCCAATTAACAACCAATTGGAGGTCCATTTCAAGACGCACGGCCAGGTTAGTTTTGTCACCGACACTAGATTTGTTTTTGAGGCAGGAGTAAATTGTAGTGTCGTCCAACTTGGGAATCTATGACGTCAGGAAGGTCGTTGATGAAAATAAGGAATAGTGTGGGGCCAAGGATGGAGTCTTGGGGAACACTTGCGTTTGTGGAATAGGAACTGGAGGAGAATCCGTTGAGAACGACCTTCAGTTCATGGTTTGACAGGAATGATTGTATTAGGTCAAACAATCGACCTGTAATACCATAACCCTGGAGCTTACGAAGAAGGCCGGCATGCCACACCCTATCAAACGCTTTGGAGAAGTTTAGGGCCACAGCACGAGCTTCCCCGTTATTTTGAAGGGCTTGGTAGACGGTTTCAGTGATGGCATCAGCTGTAGATCGGGCGTAGTGGAAACCATATTGCTTGTCTGAGAGCAGATTATGGGATGTAAGGTGGTTAACCACTTCGGCATTGATTAGGGCTTCGAAGACTTTGCCGAAGAGGGTTAGGAGACTAATAGGACGGTAATTAGTGGGGTCAGAGGGTTCTCCAGAGTTCTTAAAGACAGGAACAATGGATGAAAACTTCCAGCACTCAGGAAAACAGGATTCCTTGAGGCAGTAATTAATGCCCAGTACCAATGACGGGGTTATGTGTAAGCCACTCAATAGGGCCTCAGTTCTTAGAGGGAAGTCTGGTATGGGTACACCGGAGGAGTCGAGCGTTGAATTAAATGAGAATTTCCGAGCAAAGCATTCAGCCTTGTCGGTAGAGGAGGTCAAGACCTCGAACTGGTTGAATAAAGGAGGTATGGAGGGTTTTCTATTGTTCAGGACGCTCTTACAGACCCGCCAATAATCTTTGGAGCCAAATTTGCAAGATGCAATACGCTCCTTCATCCGAGCAGCAAATATTGACTTAGCTTCGTTGAGGACAAGCTTACACTGGTTACGGGCAGAGGCAAAGAGACGTCTATTGCAGTCAGACATGTCGCTACGAAATATGTGAAAGAAGTGGTTCCTATGGGCAATGGCGGCTGAGCAAGCAGCGGAGAACCAGGGGGAGGAGTGCGACTTGATCTTAAATTTCCTTGAGGGGATGAAAGCGTCGATTCCAGCTTTAACCTAGGATAAGACCTCAGAAGCACATTCTTGGACAGGGAGTGTAAAGACAACATCCCAGGGGACATCGCGGAGGATATCACGGAATGAGCCCCAATCTGCTCGTTGATAGTAGAACGAGGTTCTAGTGATGGGAGGTTCTTTGCGGGGTGTGGAGTTGAAGGAAATGTTAACAGATACCACAGCATGATCCGAGTTACCAAGAGGGAAGAGCTGCCTGGCGCTATAAGATTCGGGGATGGAGGTAAAACCCAAATCGAGAAGGGAGGCCTTACCTACCAGGTTGAGGGCAAAACGTGTGGGGAAGTTAACTATCTGCATGAGGGATTGAGAAATTGAGAAATTAAGTGTTTGAATGCCTGCCCGGTCAGTAGTAGCATTCTCAAGCCACTTGGTATGATGGGTGTTAAAGTCACCAAACACGAATATGTGAGCAAACGGGTGGAGAGAGAGGGCATTATCTATGTTGTCAGATATGCTATCGAGTATCCCACAGTCTTTAGAGGATGGAGAGCGATAGAGGAAGAAGAGATAGCTTATGGCATTGAGGAGAGATAGTCGGAGACACATGTACGAATGGTCTGGCGATTCAAGAGACAACTCTCTGGCCAGAGGGAGATGGTCCTTGGCGTAGGCACCAAGGCCGTGCATGTGGGTTAGAGAGTCTTTTCTGAGGAGAGGAAGGTAGCCGGGGATCGAGAGATCAGATGAGGGAATAGACGAGACAGTGTTTGTCTCACACAGAGCCAGTATATCCGGGCAGTTTGCAGTGAGGAAATATTCCATACTGCAGAAATTTGTTCTAATGTCACGAATGTTGGAGAACGAAATGTTGAGGGGTTCAGATGATTTTTGAGGGGCTGGTTTAGTTTTACTTTTTTGGTTCATTTGAGTCTTCATGTGGAAGATGAGAAGGCCTGAAGTAAGAGAAGCAGATGGTTTTTGACCGCAACATGAGCAGAAAGGAGTTGGCACAGCCTGCATCATAATGTGGCCTCAGGGTTGCCCACTGGAGGTGATTGCAGGGAGACCTTTCAATGCGCATCATGGCACTACAAACACCCTGGTATTATACAACTGTTGATCAGAGCAGCCACTCAAGACACAACGCAAGAGTTAGGGCTCTTAACTACCAGTTGGAAACAGCAACCAGTGAACTGTCAACTGTGTACCCTCAAAATGAAGAGGCAATGCCACAGACTGCACACATCACGGGAGAAATACATCAGCACTAGTACAGAGGCCAGAGAGAGAGTACCAGGAACCCCTTCTTAGACAAGAAACAAGGTGTGAGTCTCTGCTCATGTCCAGGAGAAGGGGGAGGAGTGTTGACCGGGCGGTGGGTGTTGAGCAAGCACAAAATGTGCTTGAGCCAGTGTCTGCAATAGGGATTGGCTAGCTGCCCTAGTAGACGGGTATCCTTGAATATGAGTGGGCTACTTGTATATATACTTATTATATATATATATATATATATATATATCACACAAAAACAAATGCAAAGGTTAATGATTTAATTTAAAACAATTGTTTGCGATGATGGATTTTCGCCAATTAAATCATTAACCTTTGCATTTGTTTTGTGTGAATAATTCATGAATTTGTAAATTGATTGCACGTTTATCGAAATTAATATATATATATATATATATATATATATATGTATGTATATGTATGTATGTATATATATATATATATATATATATATATATATATATATATGATATTGCACATTGAGTGCTGTTAATAAAATAATGCTTGATGTAATATAACAGAACTATTAAGTAGATAATAATAAATATACATATTATTTCTCAATGGTAGCATGAATGGCAATTTCAGGCACAACACAATCTTCAGGTGTTGAGACTGACCGTTACATAATCCCTTTAACAAAATAGACATCTATTATTTTATATCATTGTTTATAGTCACGCTACCAGTGAGGAATAATATGTATATTTATCAATATATATATATAAAGTGGTCATTGGAACTCTTGTGATAAAAGCATGGAACAAATTACTATGACTGAAATCGTTACCAATACCACTGTTTTTATCACGGCAATATTTTTCAATGTTACATTCCTATGGATGCAGATAATCACAACTTCCGCAATTCCTGTTTTTTAAACTACAGTAGAATCCCTGATAATCAGACTAAGAAGGCCTTCCAGATATGAGAAATTGGTTACAAAATTCAGATATGAGATGTTATAATTTTAGATTAAAATAAATAAACCTGAAATCAGGTTTAACATTTATTTTTAATGTTTCTTAGTGAACAAAATAAGCTAATGGCGAGTGAAATATAACAGAATTGATTTTATAGAAAAAAAATAAATTATGTAATGTTAATGAAAATCCATTAATTTAAGTATGCCACATATGAAAAACAAAAAATATAACAAGGATTTTTTAATTGCAGTAGCATGATGGCTCTTTCTCTTTTAATGTCATTCTCAACTTTTTCCACATTTTATTTGGCTTTTCTTCTTGAAATTTTTTAAAGGAAAGACACTTTTTAACTCTGCATGCATTATTGCAATCGTCATAGCTGAATGTTGACTTTCTTTCCATAAAACTGACCTTTTCAATAGTTTTTTCAATTTCAGTCTAGGTTTCATCATAATCATGCATCTCATCACTATCTTGTTTCAGATGCATCTCATCCCTATCTTGTTGCAGATGCATCTCATCATCCTTTCCTCATATTCTCATCATCTTTTGCACCAATACAAGCCATTGGGGTAAAATAAGCATGAGTAATTATCCAAAGTAAATTTCCTGAAAAACAACAATTTCAAATCAGTTACATGCCATTCAAATAGTTCAAATATATGCATCAAAATCATGTCCAGATATGCAGGATTCTGAATATGAGGCACTCTGGATATGAGGGATTCTGGATATGAGGGATTCTGGATATGAGGGACTCTGGATATGAGGGATTCTGGATATGAGGGATTCTGGATATGAGGGACTCTGGATATGAGGAATTCTGGATATGAGGCACTCTAGATATGAGGGATTCTGGATATGAGATACTCTGGATATGAGGGATTCTGGATATGAGGCACACTTGATATAATGGATCTGGATATGAAGGATTCTGGATATGAGGCACTCTGGATATGAGGCACTCTGAATATGAGGGATTCTGAATATGTGGGATTCTGGATATGAGGGATTCTAGATATGAGGGATTCAGGATATGTGGGATTCTGGATATGTGGCACTATGGATATTAGGGTTTCTGGATATGAGACACTGGATATGAGGGATTCTGGATATGTGGGATACTGGATAGGTGGTATTCTGGATATGAGGGATTCTAGACATGTGGGATTCTGGATATGAGGCACTCTGGATATGAGTGTTTCTACTATATTCTATATTCATTTGCTTTTGCCCCTTGCCACAGAATTTTGAATATAGTAAAGCGGAATTTAGATGGATTCATGTCTTATCAAATGATATTAGCATGAAATGAATGCTGCTGCCTTGGCTAGGATTTGAACTCAGCCTGCTAATTCATAACCATTATTCTCTGTGTGCATCCATCAGCAACATTTACCTTCACAAACAAACAAACAAAAACACTTATTATATATTCTCTGTTATCACAAGTTTCAATATAATGGCTAATAATCAAAATATAAGAACTACTAATCTTCACTGTTTCTATAAGATTAAATATTACAGATCTGTATTATTAGTTTTAGTATTATCATTATTATTGCCCTTGTAACTTTTATTACCACCGAAGGCATTACTTTGTAAATATCTTCATTAAGAAAAGAATATGTTTCATGATCAACGCTTTTAGGCAGGCGATTATCAATGATACTATTTCCTTTTTTCTCTCTTTCTGCTCCTCGTTCTCTTTTTCTTTTTCTCTCTCTTGTCATTATTCTCTTCTTTCTACCTCTACCTCTTCCTCACAAATTCCTTCTTGTACTTCTCTGTAAGCTTCTCCTCCACCTCTTCCTTTTTTTCCCCATCATCGTCATCTTTTTTCTCCCACTCCTTCATTCTCCTCCTGCTTCTTCTTCTTCACACCAACCTCCTTCTCAGTTTTCTTCTTCTGTTTCTTCACCCTTATCCTTCTCTTCTTCTTCTTCTCCTTCTTCTTCTTCACACCCACCTCTTCCTTCTCCATTTTTCTTATTCTTATGATTCTTCTTCACACACTTCTCTTCCTCCTCTTCCTTCTTCTTCACAGCTTCCCCTTTCTCCTCTATTTTTTATAATTTTTTCTTCACAATCTTCTCTTCCTTCTTCTTCTTTTTCTGCTTTTCCTTCTTCTTCTTCTTCTTCTTTTTTCTTCTTCACAGCCTCTTCTTCCTTCTTATTTTTCTCATTCTTATATATAAGAATAATCTTCTTTTTCACACTTTCTTCTTCCTCCTCCTTATTCTTTCTCTCATTACATTTTTCACACTATCTTCTTCCTTCTTGTTCTAACTTTTTTCACACACTTCTCTTTCTTCTTCTTTACCTTACCTTTTCACACACCTCTTACCCTTTTTCTCCTACCAAGATTTTCATTACCACCATCTTTCTCATTATCCCTCCAAAGCTATCGATCATTACTGCTAACATCCTCAAATCCTGTAACTCTCCCTGCCACCAGGAACATCACACCCTCTTGCACAAACCCCTCGCTATTATTCCTGCCATCAAAATAAACACCACTGCTTCTACCAGCATCACTTCCAAGCTCTTTAACCATTACATGCACATTGTCAGCTCACTCTGCGAATATTTTACAGAACTTGCCAGAAGCTATTAATCAAGTGCAATCTTCATTTGATTGTTGGCCAAATCAAAATTCCCTTGTCACTTGCCATTTCACAGAGTTAGGTGCATGGCAGAAGGCATGGGAATGGCTGAATAAAATATTTCTTGAAGACAAAATTATACCAGTTCTATTCATAGGGTCGAAATTGTTCTTTCCCTGTTTCTGATTGGTCGATTACTGAAGCATTCAGCCATATTCCTTTTTGTCTTCTGCAGCTGGATTTTCTAATATTTTTTTCCCACATTTTGTTCTTCGATATTTTCTCCACATTTAAAACATATTTTTTTTTACAATATTTTTTTTCCTTTTTCTCTATGTTTACTTATTATATTATCTGCTGATTTAGATCCCTGATCATATATATATATATATATATATATATATGAAGAAATATAGTCTTAAGGTGTGCTATATTTATGGGATAAAGTGCTCAATATCAGAGATAGAGCGTGTGTAAATATAAAAGTGAGCATAGAAGTCAAAACCTAGAGGCGACAGTCTGTTTCATGGTATATGTAATCGTCAGGCCACTGATGGATGCACACAGAGAAAAATGGCTATGAATTAGCAGGCTGAGTTCAAATCCTAGCCATGGTAGTAGCATTCATTTCATGCTAATATCATTTGATAAGGCATGAATCCATCTAAATTCTGCTTTACTATATTTAAATTTCTGTGGTGAGGGGCAAAAGCAAATGAATATAGAATACAGTAGAATCCATTATATCCAGAATCCCTCATATCCAGAATCCCACATATTCAGAATCCCTCATATCTAGAATCCTGCATATCCAGAATCCCTCATATCCAGAGTGCCTCATCTCCAGAATCCCACATATCCAGAATGTGGCTTGATGATAGTCTGTTTTTGTTGCATGAAAAATTTCAAAACAACGACAAACTCGTGTATACAAGATGCGGAATACATACATACATATATATATATATATATATATTAATAATGTAGTAATAATAATAATACTGACACTAAAATCTGTCTCTATGGTTTCTGAAACTTAGAAAACTATATTAATGTGGGTCAACGTGCTTGAGTAATGATTTATTTCTAGGCATTCAAATGCTCATTAGTTCACTTCATTTTTTTTTAAAATTTGGATTTTTAGGATCATTGACTTCTCAGAAAGACATAAGCTACATTTATTGTCTTTATCACTAAAGGGTTTAGCTTTTGTTACATAATCCCAGGTGATAATTGCGTTTTTATTCTCAATTTTTACTTTCTAGAAAGATTTAGAGAGGACAGTGCAGTTACTACATTTAATATTTCCTAATGTCATTTGGTGATGGTTGAACACAAATAGAACTGGACCTCACCATCATATTTGATGTTAGCTTTATAAACTAAACCACTATCCAGGCTTTAGCCATTTAATAGGCAGATTTTGTTTTTCCAGCAGTTGCATTCTTTAATTGTGGGGATGTACTTATTTTGTAGGTTAGATAAGTGTTGTGCTGTGATATATATTGGTCAATGTTTTTAGCATAACTGTAGGTAACTTTGACATTCTTTTTATTGAAAATCTTTTTTAGCATTGGCAAATGAGGGAAATGCGTATGGATTAGATTCAAAAAAATTCTTTCAATATTAGTTTGAAATTGCTGCTAATATGATATTGTGTTTGCAGTGTCTTCTTAGTATTCAAGATCTCAAGGTTAATTTTATGGTTACTTTGTTCTAAGGCTTCTACATATTTACTTGTCTAGAGTTGGTAGACTGATTTATGCAAATTGTTTAGTTTTCTAGGATGCTGATGTATCTATGGTTGTATAAATCTTTAGTATATGGTTTATAAAGTCCATTAGAGAGATCCAAGGTTACATCCAGAAAGTTGATCACTTTAACATTAGTGGTGATGGTGCTCAGACTGAGGTCTTAAAAAAAAATTTAATCAGGCTTTTTTTTAGTTGGTCAGTTTTTTGAGTATTTGCTTTATGCAGGAGTATTATAACATTGTCTCTATATATGGTGTTATTAATATTGATGATGAACCTTAGTCACCAAAGTCATAGAATACTAACAAAGTCACAAGCCTCTGCTGAGTCAAATGCACTCAGGGAAATGCAAAAATCAGATTTGTTGTGGTTAATTCACAGGGAATGTTCATGGAACAGGATGGGTTTCTGGGCTTGTTTAATGATATTAATGTCCGGGTTAATTATGAGGCAGTAATTGTTGGCCAGATTTATTACAGCCATTAGTAAGCTCCTCGGTGATAGATGGGTAGAAACTAGAAAGGTCAAATTGAATATAATAATTTTTAATTTTATTTTAGTGAACCAACCAATGGTGTTAGCTGTATTATGCCACTGGTTGATTCCTAGAGCATTTCTTGTATATCTGCAGGCTTTAACCAGAAAGGAAGAAACTGGAAAAGAGTTTCACAAGCATGAAGTGTGAGCGAAGTAACTGAACTGTTAGCATAGAAATTACGGTTATATCCAGCCATTTTGGCAGGTCCAAATGGAGTCTCATATTCTCTAGTACAAATGTAGCAATATTGGGCATCTTTTGCAGTAGCTGTAATATAAATTCTGTATGACGTTTAATAAATAGTTTCTATGTGTGTGTGTGTATGTGTGTGCATTTGTGTGGCATCTCTGATGATTTTTGAGATCTGTCATACTAAGACAGCTGCAACAAAATCCGTTTTGGCTCGTATGCTGGTCTTTTTCTTCAGCCAATAAAGCGTACAGAAACTCCTAAAGTCCTTCATCCTGACCACATGACCACTCACTCCATTGTTACTGGCACTGAAGTACCAGAGACTCTTTACTGGTAGACTTTACTTTTTCTTATATCAATGTTCACCCAATACGAAGGCTCAAGATCTACTCAAGATAGAGGGTTATTGTGTTGTATCAGTTTAAGAAAGAGCAACAAGTGAATTTCATGGGGTTTTACAGAAAAGATAATGGTTAACCCAATGCTTGAAGAGGACAAGATTGCAGAGATTTGGAAAACATCCTGACTGGAGCCTGTTCCACAAAGTAGCATTTCTTAAGAAGAATCTGTCCAAACGGAAGTTACTATTGAAATATGAAAGGAATAGAGATTATTCACTCTTGGCAGATCCTAGTTGTATATGTCAGAGAGGCAGTGATGTGCAAATGTTTGATGATGCTTAAAGCCAACTACTTGATTGCATGCCCCTAAGAATCAAGTAGTAGTGGGGGTGCTATAGGACTGATTACTGAGAAATATAAGAAAGGGAGATATTTTAAAAATGCAAAAACAGATGAAACATGAAATAGAAACTTTATTCAAATTAAATATAAAATAAAATTTTATTTCAGTCTCTGATGATTTGATGCCCTCATATTATGGATGCCTGGCGCCATCATACCATTTGACCCCCCACCCTGCATGCTACTGCAGGGTGGGGGGACGACATTACTTCAGAGTGTCTTATCAAGTGATGTTGTTGAATGTAGAATAAATAACTCTTTATTCTACATTCAACACTATCACTTGAGAAGACACCAGAAGTGTTGAAACAAAATAGCTATTTTTGTATTGATTTTATAAACATATTTATCTTGTAATTTTCGAATATATATATATATATATATATATATATATATATATATATATATATATATATATCTTTTTTAATCATTTCATCCCAAGCAATGTGGGAATGCAACTAGTACACAGGGGGTTTCATGGAGTGAAAACGAAAGAGAAGACTGAGAATAAGTAGGATTGAGGAAAGGACAAAATATGAATGGGATTCATGAAAACAGAAGACGGCGATTGTATTTATCAGAGAATTCACTTGAAATCAAATGCTATATTTTCATTAACCCTTTCTCGACCACATTCTACATATTGTCTAGGTCAGTGGCTTGTTGGAAGGTCCAGCTCAAATTTTTGGCAGACTGTGTGATGTTATTGCCCACAACTTGAATTTGTTTTTTTTTTAATAATTTCACCCCAAGGAAGGCAATAAAGCCACTAAAACATAGAAGGTTATAGGGAGTGAAACAGAATGAGAAGACTTCAATGGGGAAAAGTAAGGAAAGGACAATAAATAAACAAGTTTCAAGAAGATAGAAGATGGCGATTGACATTGCATTTAAATATTTGAAGATTGTATATGGCAGGAAAGCAAGTAAATGGAAGGGAGTTCCACATTTAAGAAATGCAAGAAAGGAAACTGTTGGAGTACAAGTGGTGGTTGCATTTAGCTATTTCAACATGTTATATTCTGTGCTAATAGGAATATTTATACTTGAAAACAAGGTGGATAAAATTAGTAAAGGTACAAAACCAGTACAATAAAAATAAATGTAACAGTTATGCACAAGGTCATCACAAGTCAATCCAGTAGTGAGTGCTACTATTTGAAGGTCGGTAGTTCTCATGTAAGTCTGAGTCGTACTCCAAAGATCCCAGCTAGTACATTTAACAGCTCCCTACTACGAGGGTCATATGTGGCACAAGGCCGAGTTTATTATGGGTTCTCTGAGCCTGTAGGCTCGGCCAAAAATATTCCCTTTGAACCCATATAAAGTGGGTTCAGGGTCAGTCTAGCTCCCTGAACGAGAATCTGCCCTTTGGAATAGCCTTTTCCAGGTTCCTCTCTGCCCGAAGGCAGAGAGTTCAACCATCACAGCTGAAAAGATTTCAGCTGGACTCCGTAGTCTGTTGACTTACAGATAATTATAGGTAGTTACTATGGGGGTGATAGGTTATTCCATTACATCACAACAGCAAAAGGGTAGGACCTAGATGCCAATCTAGTAGGACACTTAAATTCGTGGAGTCAAGGCACCAGGCAAAAAAAAGCTCGTCTGAGCAATTGCCATGAAAATATTTGTAGAAAAGACAGAGAGAAGCCAAATAGTCAGGTAGAAATGTGCAAGATGGATTCTGTCATGACACAGTGACCCATTTTTTTTTTGCAGTAGATATAGCTATTAATGTGAGATAGTCACTCCACTTCATGTCAGTGGGAAACGTGAGGCCAAGAAGACATAGAGTGTTGCTCCCCTGGAGATTAGCATCAGCCAATGCTGATGGCAGGAAGAAAAGGTCCTCTATGGTGGTTAAATGAAAGCAGCTTTGTTTTGAAGACTTTAAAATTTACAAGCTATTTTCTGCTCCAGTTAACCAGTGATTGGAGGTCCTTTTCAAGAGAAGCTGCCAGGTTTTCTTTGTCAGATCTGTTGGATTTGCTACTGAGACAGGAGTAAATGGTTGTGTCGTCAACAGAAATGCCTACTTGAAACAGCGTAGGATGTTTACGTGTGTGTCTATAATGACTGGCTGATAAGATCTGTTGATGATGCTCACTCAGCCATATTGTTGTTTCTTCAACACAACTTGTGTTTTCTAAACTTTTTATTTATGTTACAACTATACTGAGCAGGCCTGATTTACAGTTTTTTGGGAGAGAATCAGTCATGATCAGTAGTTGAATAAATCCAGTGCATTCAAACCCTCAGTCACGATGACTTGTTACTTCATGCTAGCACAACCAGCAATGGAGAGGTTTTTTTAAAACCCAACTGCTCTCAAATGTCTGCATACTTGAATTATCCTCTTGAAGTTGATAGTATGAAGAATTTGACTCTGGGGAAATTCAAACCCTGGATCTCATAGTCAGAAAGCTAACCTTCTAACCACTTGGCCATATATATGGGGATATTTAATTGCATGTGTGAAAAGTTTCTTATAAGTAAAAAAAAACAAAAAAACAAAAACGTTTTTTGAATGAAGTGGATTGATTGTGCTGGGTTAGATATTTCATCGCCTGCTTGGGGAGTGTGTTGCATGGATCAAGGGCTGGGACAAGATGTCCAAACAAGGCTTGAGGGACATAGGTTATATCACTTGGCTACAATCAAAAAGAATGTAAATTATTGGTTTGAGACGTGGTGCTGGTGGTAGTAGTGGTGTGGTAGTGATGCCAGTGGAAGATGTGATGATGTAACAAAAAGAATAAAAAGAACAAGCCCTCATGGAAAAAATGTAGCTGTCTGTGGGTTAGAAATTTCATCTCACAAACCAATTCCTTGTTAGCATTCTCTCTCTCTCGCTCTGTTTTTAAAAATCTTTCAGTTATGTCATTCTTTCTTTTATTTATTTTACTCCCCCCCCCCCGCCTTCAAATTCTTGTTTATCATTTATTGGGGGAGACCAATAAGTCTAACCTGAGCCAGTTATTAATGGAATTTGTACCTGAAATTCTCATTCTATAATAAATGTTTATTATCTATGTGATTATTGGAGAAGAATTGGTTTATGTGCATTGACAAAGAAGGAATTTATGTTAATAAATAAATATTTTTTATATGAAATAACTTTTTTTTAGTCAACGGTTTTTAAAATTTAATTGTCATTTTTTTCCTGTTCTCCCTCCTTTCATTTTTCTTTCATTCAATTTCCCTTTTCTTTCATTCCTTCATTTCTCTCGTTCGTAAATTCTACTTTCTTTCTTAATATTTTCATTTTTCCTTGTTTGTCTGTTTCTTTCTTTAATATTCCCTTTTCCTTTCTTTATATTTCCTTTTTCTTTATTTTGTAATATTCTTTCTGCCTTCATATTCTTTCTTTCTTGCTATGTTATTTTCTTTCTTTTTTCTTCTTTTTTGCTATATTATTTATTTTCTTTCTTTCTTTCTTTCTTTCTTTTTTTGTGCTATGTTATTTTCTTTCTTTTCATTTTTTCTTTTTCTTTCTTTCTTTCTTTCATGCTATGTTTTTTTTCTTTCTTTTTCTTCTTTCTTGCTATATTATTTTCTTTCTTTTTTTTCTTTCTTTCTTTCCTTTTTTTTTTTTTCTTTTGTTATTTTTTTCTTTCTTTCTTTTCTTTCTTTCTTTTCTTGCTTTGTTATTTTATTTTTTATTTTTTTTTCTTTTTTATATTATTTTATTTTTTTCTTTCTTTTTTTCTTTTTGTGCTATGTTATTTTCTTTCTTTCATTCTTTCTTTCTTTCTTTCTTTCTTTCTTCATGCTATGTTATTTTCTTTCTTTTTTCTTCTTTCTTGCTATATTATTTTCTTTCCTTCTTTCTTTCTTTCTTTTGTGCTATGTTATTTTCTTTCTTTTTCTTTCTTTCTTTCTTTCTTTCTTTCTTTCTTTCTTTCATGCTATGTTATTTTCTTTCTTTTTTCTTTCTTGCTATGTTATTTTCTTTCTTTTTTCTTTCTTTTTTGTGCTATATTTTTTTTTTCTTTCCTTTCTTTCTTTTTTCTTTCTTTCTTTCATGCTATGTTATTTTCTTTCTTTTTTCTTTCTTTTCATATTATTTTCTTTCTTTCTTTCTTTCTTTTCTTTTCTATGTTATTTTCTTTCTTTCATTCTTTTTTTCTTTCTTTCTTTTTCTTTCTTTCATGCTATGTTATTTTCTTTCTTTTTTCTTCTTTCTTGCTATATTATTTTCTTTCCTTCTTTCTTTCTTTCTTTTGTGCTATGTTATTTTCTTTCTTTCATTCTTTCTTTCTTTCTTTCTTTCTTTCTTTCATGCTATGTTATTTTCTTTCTTTTTTCTTCTTTCTTGCTATATTATTTTCTTTCCTTCTTTCTTTCTTTCTTTTGTGCTATGTTATTTTCTTTCTTTCATTCTTTCTTTCTATGTCATTTTTCTTTCTTTCGTTCTTTCTTTCTTTCTTCTCTTATTCCTCTTATTGATCTACTTTTTTATTATTTCTGTCAGCCTTTCTTTCTTCTCTCTTTCACTCCAAGTTAAACACTGGGTCACCTCCCCAATCACCCAACAAATTGTTTTCTTTCTTCCTCTTGTCCTTTCTCCCCCCAATTTAATCCTCCTTTATACATCATCAAGTACTGGTTTTAAAAAAAAAAAAAAAAAGAAAGCAAAAAAAAAATATAAAAAAAAATAAAACAATACATGTAGGTAGTTCAGTCTACAGTTATTCTCCACTAAACGTACAAGGTCTTTATAGATTGCTTCCGAAACCAATCACTTCCAACTTTAAATGTTTTCGGAACATTCATCAATTCTTTGTAACATGAGGTGGCATGCAAAGGAACTGGTTAGACTCTGTATATCATGACCCAATTCATCAATGTTTACTGGACTTCACCAATTGTAATTTATCTTTTATATATATATATATATATATATATATATATATATATATATGAAACCATTTTTATCTATTTGTTTCACTTGGCCAATCTGTTTTATATAGAACCCTTGACATTGGTATGTATACTTACTGTACATGGTGAAAGTTTTTAACATAAAAAATATTTTAACATGAGAAAAATGCTTTTCACATAAGAAGAAATGTTCTAACATGCCAAAAAACGATTTTAAATGTGAGAAAAATGGTTTTAAGAGAGATCTACTCAGCATAGTTTAGATGTGACACAAGGCCAAAAGTATGGGGCATTCAGTGCCGATCGAACTCACTATTTAGTCATAACTCATCTAGCAAGACCAGCTTGCTAACCATTACACCATATTGAAGTGCCTAAGCATAGCGTAGATGTGGCACAAAGCCGAAATTATGAGGCACCCAGTGAGGATCAAACTCACTATTTAGTCATAACTCATCTAGCAAAACTGGCTTGTTGACCATTACACCACATTGAAGTGCCCATGCATAGCTTAGATGTGGCACAAAGCCAAAAGGATGAGGCATCCAGTGAGGATCGAACTCACTATTTAGTCGTAACTGATGTAGCAAAACCGGCTTGCTAACTATTATACCACATCTGTCTTTTCTACAAATACTTCCATGGTAACTGCTCTGACGAGCTGCTTTCTCTGGTTCCCAGACTCCATGAATTCAAGCGCCCTACGAGGCTGGCATCCCGCTCCCACCCTTACACCGTAGAAACTTTCAAATGCAGCCGTCTCTTCTACTCCGGTAGCTTCATACCTCGCACCTCTCGCCAGTGGAACACCCTCCCCAATTACTGTTTCCCTGAAAGCTATAACTCCAACTATTCAAATGTAATGTCAATCGACATCTCCAGTTACCTTGATCTACCCACTACCCTTCTCCTCATACTTTCTCCTATCACTCCTATCTGCTCTCGCTCCAAATCTTCCGCAACCCCCTGCATCCTAGTGGCTTCATGTCTTGCTTGGGGCGTAATGCTTAAAAAAAAAAAAAAAAAACATTGAAGTGCCCAAGCATAACTTAGATGTGGCACAAAGCCAAAAGCATGGGGTACTCAGTGTGGATCAAACTCTTTTATTCACTTGTAACTGATCTAACGAGACAAACTTGCTAACTACTACACCATGTCGAAGTGTTGTTAAATGATTTTAATATAAAGTTTTAAAATAAAAAATGTTAAAACATGATTAAAATGGTTTTAACATATATATATATATATATATATATATGTGTGTGTGTGTGTGAAAATATATAGAAAATAGGAAGGAACTGGTTAGGTAAATAATCCAAAGTTCCTTAGTATTTTAGTTATTATTTTTAAAAAATAGTGCTCGATACAAAAGTAGAGCATAAATATAATTATTTTTGATTTCAATTATTAAAACACGTAAATTTCAGAAATACGTTAATCCAAAAAAAATTTCACTTGAAGATGGAACAGAGCTTACTTTAATTCAATTTAATTCAAATAATTATATTGAAGTTTTCGGCTCTTGTTTGGAAACATGAGACCTCTTATGTCGCGAGTTGGAATCATATTTTTTAAATAAATAATTATATATATATATATATATATATATATATATATTTAAGAAAGGGGAAAATGTTTTTTGTCTGATGTGTTTCATCCCTTAGAACTTCAATGGATGAATACATTTGTTTATTAATGCATTTGTGTTTTGGGTATATAATCTAGCTAATTTTATTTAAATATCTTTTTCTTTTTGTTTCTATCATCTTTGTTATTAAATATCCCTCATTATGATGGCAGAAGATCTGCCAAGAATGATGAAACATTGTAAGAACCTGGATACAAATTTCCTGTGGATGAGCTCCCAACTAAAGCACTTTCTCAACATTTTCATCTTAGTGAATTATTTTCTCTTTTAATTAGAGTAGCCATTTTTTAGGTCCAAATTGTGGTCAGTCTAATTACAGTGAGCAGCTAATGCATTTATTCATTGTTTTTTAAAATGTCTCTTTTGTGTTTATATAATCTTTTATTTAAACTTCCTCAGATTTCTCCAATATAGTCTTTCTGACAATCCTTGCAGGTGATAGGGGAAATTTGTTGTTCATGTTTTGCTTTATTTTAATTAAATCTTTTATTGTTTTAGATGTTGTTACAACACATTTTATGTTGTATTTAAATAAATTCTTTTTGGTTGTAGCTATGATAAAGTTAGTGGGTAGAACAATATATTTTTTTTTATTTGTTGGGTGTGTCAGTAGGTCCCTCGTTTCCATTTTGAAATATTTTATGAGCCTTTTATTTCACACTGATTATGAAATAGTTAAGGTATTGGAAGGTCTTGAAAATATTTTCAAAGTATTTCTCTTCTTCATATAAATATTGAGGGTTGCAAATTTTAAGTGCTCTTATGTAGAATCTGATGTTTATTATGGATTTTATTTTGTTATGATGGGAATAGAAATTTATGAGATCATTTTTATCAATTGATTTTTGGTGGGCACTAATTTTTTTTTTTTTTGTTTGAAAGTTTGGGCTTATCTATTTATAATTATTCCGAGGATTTTGTGGTTAAGGGAAGCTTTTGAAACTGTCAACTCTGGATTTTCATGGAGCGAAGGATATATATCTGTGTTGTTAATTTTACTACTGCTACTGCTACCCTAATTGTAGTGGAAAGATTGTTTTTATCATGACAAAATTTTAGATCTTGATTTCTAGAATGATGAAATATCGTCATCTATCATCAGAGGCAGAAATGTTATTTTTAGATTGATGAATTTTCAGACCTTTATTTCTAGAATGATGAAATATCATCATCATCATGAATCATCGCTGGTGGAAAGGTTGTTTTTAGAATTATGACATTTCAGATCTTTATTTCTAGAATAATGAAATACCATCATCATCATAATGAATCATAACAGAAGTATCAGATATATCTGTATTTAGTTAACTAAACTTGGGGCATTTTATGATGTGTACTCTGTTCTGTTTAGTGCAACACAAGGTTTGCTAGGGACCAAAAGCCTCTCAGTAGAGGGAAGAAAACATATCTTATCTGTAAGGTATCCAGTGGCGTAGCTAGAGTAAACGTCACCCGGGGCAGTCCGCTCAAATGTCACCTCAATGACCCCGATTCACCCTATGCTGAATGGTTAGCTGTATCTAAATTTTCATACATGCTCTACCTCTACTTTACTCGACTGACCAGTACATTACTGTTTACATGTAAGAATCAAGACAAAATCCAATACCACAAAATAATCAGTTCAAATCGAAAGCTGAAAACATTGCTATTTTTCCTACTCATAAATTTTCCGACAATTTATTAGAAAATTTCTGACGGGAGGACAAAACTGGGGAGGTCATAAATTATTTCTGGGGGGTCATATGCCAGCCTGCAAAACCCTGTCTCCACCACTGTTTTCAGACTATTTTTGGCACCTTAGCCTGGCTGAAAAATTTTGTTTGGGGTGACATTGTGTTTGGCACCCGGGCCGCCCCCCCCACCCCCTTAGCTACGCCACTGAAGGTATCTTGTATGAAATAAGGAAGAAAGAAAATGAGACTGTGTATTTCTTTTATACTTCTACAGCAACACTATCTTGCAGTAATTTCTTTGGTAGACATGTGTGGTAATCCTTCATAGTTAAGTCAGCATGTGTTTGAATTTTAAATGCAGGTTTTAAGACATTATTATTCAATTCAAGTAATATCTGTGAAAAGAAGATTCTATCAGTGATGTTAAAGTTTATATTTTAACTTCTTGATTACTCTTCTTTTATTGTTGCTGCTCCTTAATAATGTTTCTCTTTTTTCTTTTGCTTTTGCCCTCAGTAACCCCTTGTATCTTAAGGACTTTATTGCCTTGCTTGGGGTGAAATGACGAAAAAAAAATAAAAAGCTTAAAAACAGTTATTTTCAGACTGCTTTCGGATTTTTACTTTCTATTTTTAATTTAATATAATAGATTAATCATAAGTAATTTCTGTTTTGTTCCTTAGATATATCATAGCAGGTGATGAAAAGTGGGTTGCATTCAACAACATTCAATGCAAAAGTTAGTGGATTCACAAGGTTAAAACGACACTAACTACTCCAAAACCTGAGCTACCTGGAAGAAAGGTAATGTTGCAAGTTGGTAGAAATTGTATCGTATTATTCATTTAGAGCCGTGTTTCTCAAACTTTTTAAGCAATGACACATGAAAAGGAATACATCACAGCGCACTTGGCAACATTTTTAAAGGGTATACATTTAAATGTTATTAAATAAAACCTCAAATTTTATAAAAAATTACACAGACATAAATAAGCTTATTTTATTCCAATGTTTCTATTCAATTATTTTTGCAGCTTATTTAGTGTGAAACCTGGAGTTTTTTCACAATTTCTTCAATGTTTGGTCGAATGTGTGATAAGCAGACCCTCTTTTCTTCTTCAATTGAGCATAGTCTTTTTCTCTTCTTATTTTTGATGTTATTTAGTGATGTAATGAATATGGGATACTTGGGTTCCCCCTCACAATAATACGATTGGCTGGTGTCAGCCATAAATACAGACTGATGTGGAGGTACATGGTCTACACCTATTACCTACGCCAATTGCCTATGCCTATTGCCTATGGCTATTGCCTACCACTATGATGAGGACCAGTCCATTATGGTTACCTGCTAGATTGTCCTACCCGGTTACAGTAGCCAAAACCACTTTGCTACTTCGAACAAATATATCCCTTTCCGGGACATATCATTTAGGGTTGAGAAGCTGAATTCACATAACTAAGAAGTAGAAAACTGCAATAAAACTGATAAAACCTTTTTGGTTAATGTGGGATAAAAAGTTTAATACTTATTCATTTATTCACATACTAATGCTCTACCATTACTACTTACACACACACATACACACACACACGCACATATGTATGTTGTGACAATATTTTGTGGCACGTTAGTGTGTCACGGCACTGTGGTTGAGAATCACAGAGTTAACGTTCTTAAAACACTAAATGCACATTTATACATCCAGCAGCTGCAACATGTCATTAAAAGTTTAGTTGAAATGTTCCCCACACTTGCCAATAAGAAAAAATAATCTTACAGCACAAAGCTGCAGACAGCAAAAATAACTTAGGAAAATAATTTTGGAACTTGATTGGTCTATTCTACTCCCCCCCACCATATTCACCTGACCTTACACCAACTGATTATTATATTTTGATCTCTAAAAAACAGTTTCATGTGGAAAACTTTCTGTACTGAAAAATTAGATTCAAGAGTTATTCAAAAGCTTTTACATCAAAACCATTTTATCCAAAAAGATACAGTAGACGTGCAGGATAAGTGGCAACAAGTCAATGCAAATAATAAGTGACTCTATAATTAAATAAAAAGTAACCATACTTTATTTTTCAGAGAATAAAATTGTTAAACATAAACAGAAAATATTTATGACTCAACCTAATAAATAAATGCCAATATGGCAGGTGTAAATTGTTGGTTTATGGCATTTTTTAAAGACTTCATTTTCTAAGGTTGGCATATAGAATTTCTGATAATGTTTGAAAGGTAAGTGAATCAATAACGATGTCATCATGTATATGAATATATTTCCTAAGTGGTTGTAAAATGGAATTTGTTTGGTACAGTCTAATAACAGTTTCTTGATAGTTTTTGGTTTTATTTTTGTGGGTTTGGAAGTGAAGGATGCCTAGAAAAGCTGATTTTTCCCCTGACAGGTACATTGCAAATAAATTGTCGGCGTCTAGTGACATTAATACATTATTATTTGTTTTATTGCTTTTGAGAATTTGTATAAAGCCATATGTTGGATTAAGTTGAATAGAGTTTAATAATTTGGCTTATTCTATAAAAATATAAATTGCAAATTATGAAAAGTTTTTGGCAAAATATAAGAAAAATATCACAAAGGGAATGTAACGTTGAACTGAACGACAACAAGCTCAATGTATAAAGTTAAAAAGATTATTTACTATTCACATATGTTATTGAAAAATAAAAAAAAAATGTAAAAATATAATGGGACACAATGTGCAAAAGAATCTCATCCGTTATGCGAGGACAGAGTGAGATGCCCTTTAGAAGCCCTTTATATTGGACTGTCTAAAGTCATAGAGAGACATGAAAAATATCTTTTTATTGAGCTCTATTCTGGAAATCATCAAAATGTCTTCTTGGACAGACTGAAGCCTGTAACACAGTCAAAAATACCTCTATCTGGTCCCAAATCAAAGGGAATGGCAACAACTGATAATGACACACACATACATGAACTGGTAGCTGCAAAAAACAACCCAGATGAAAACTTCCAGAAATAAGAACAATCTCAAACTCATGCTCAGGAAGACTGGTAACATTTTCTAAAAAGGATGAGTTTATATATTTCTAGTAAATCATTTATTGATACATCTCTGCTTCTAGGTGAGGATGTATTCTTGGAGAATGAAAATAAACTAATAAATAAAATAATAATAAAAAATAAAGAATTTAATTTTCCCATAATGCAAAAGAAAAAAGGAAACCAAAAATGGTCTTCGGTCATTTTATGAGCCCACTTCAAGAAAGGAGATGATTGTCCTCTTCTCACTTCCCAACCATTGAGTTTGTTTATTAGCCATCCCAATGAAAGGGAGATTCAGCCATCCTTACTAATTGTCAGACTGACTGGAGATCGACCATTCACTATACCTTTGTCTCTTTGTACCCACATGTGTCAATAAACATTGACCATTCATTTTCTACTCAAATCTTTGTTTGCTTTAGTTTATTGCAGTCTACCAACCTTCAAATTCTGTTAGCGATATGATGTCAAATACAACCCCCAACAAACTTGAAGGAGAAATTTACTCTATTACCTGTAATCATTGTCACAAGGAATGCATCAGTGAAACCTCAAGGAATTTAAATAAAAGATTATATGACCACAAAAAGGATCTTTTACAAAACAACACATTAAATCCATTAGTTGTCAACTGTAACAAGGCTGACCACAATTTTGATTTAAAAAATGCACATAAAATATTCCAAAATAAAGAAATGGTCCTTCCTGAAAAAAACCCAATGAATAAAAAAAATATATTGCTCTACTCACTTGCTCTATCATAACTACAAGTGAAAAGAATTTATCTAAATGCAATGTGAAATTTGTCCCAACTGCTTCTCAAACAATAAAAGGCTTAATTAACACAAAACAAAATAATTCACCAAAACTTGAGGAAGAATGAAAATAAAATACTAAATAAAATAATAATAATAAAAAAATAAAGAATTTCATTTTCCCATAATGCAAAAAAAACGGAAGCAAAAATGGTTTCTGGTCATGTGTGAATTTTATGAGAAAGGAGATGATCGTTCTCTTCTCACTTCCCAACCATTGAGTTTGTTTAGTAGCCATCCCAATGAAAGGGAGATTCAGCCATGCTTACTCAATGTCAGACTGACTTGAAGTCAACCATTTACTATACCTTCACCTCTTTGTACCCACATGTGTCTATAAACATTTTATTTTTTACTGAATTTTATGAGTCCACATCTGGAAAGGAGATGATTGTTCTCTTCTCACTTCCCAACCATTGAGTTTGGAGATGTTTAGTAGCCATCTCATTAAAAGGTTAGATTCAGCCATCCTTACTCAACATCAAGCTGACTTGAGGTTGACCATTCACTATACTTTCACCTCTTTGTACTCGCATGTGTCAATAAACAGTGGCCATTCATTTTCTACTCAAATCTTTGTTTGCTTTAGTTTATTGCAGTCTACCAACATTCAAATTCTGTTAAATGATGACAAATACAACCCCCAACAAACTTGAAAGAGAAATTTACTCTATTACCTGTAATCATTGTCACAAGGAATACATCAGTGAAACCTAAAACTTGAGGGAGAATGAAAATAAAATAATATATAAAATAATAATATTAAAAAAAATAAAAAAAATTCATTTTCCTATAATTCAAAAGAAAAAATGGAAACCAAAAATGATGTCTGGTCACATGTGAATTTTATGAACCTCTCTTCAGTAAAGGAGATAATTGTTCTCTTCTCACTTCCCAACTTTTAAGTTTGGACATGTTTGGTAGCCATCCCAATGAAAGGGAGATTCTGCCTTCTTTACTCCACATCATCAGGTTGACTTGAGGTCAACCATTCTCTATAACTTCTCATCTTGGTACCCGTGTGCATCAATAAATGTTGCTGATTTCTTTTCTACTCTAGACTTTGTTTTGTTTTGTTTATTGTTGTCTACTGACATTCAACTTCAATTAGTGGCACAAAGTCAAATACAACCGTCCACAATTGATGACTTTATCTATCTTAGTTTAATCATATCTAGATCTATTACAGTATATTTCTATCTATATTCCTCATTTTACCAATTTACCTATCTCTCTACCTTCATTTCAGACTGTTCATATCTTTCTCTCTACATGTTTATGTTCATCTATCTATTTCAGTCTAATCAGATCTATCTATCTATCTATCTATCTATCTATCTATCTATCTATCAGTCTAATCATATCTACCTTTCTATCTCAGTCTAATCATGTCTATCTATCTATCTATCTATCTAATCATATCTACCTTTCTATCTCAGTCTAATCATATCTCTCTATCTATCTATCTATTTAATCATATCTACCTTTCTTTCTCAGTCTAATCATATCTACCTTTCTATCTCAGTCTAATCATGTCTATCTATCTATCTATCTATCTATCTATCTATCTATCTAATCATATCTACCTTTCTATCTCAGTCTAATCATATCTCTCTATCTCTCTATTTAATCATATCTACCTTTCTTTCTCAGTCTAATCATATCTACCTTTCTATATCAGTTTAATCATGCCTATCTATCTATCTATCTATTTGTCTGTCTAATCATATCTACCCTTCTTTCTCAGTCTAATCATATCTACCTTTCTATCTCAGTTTAATCATGCCTATCTATCTATCTATCTATCTATCTATCTATCTATCTATCTATCTGTCTGTCTGTCTGTCTAATCATATCTACCTTTCTTTCTCAGTCTAATCATATCTATCTATCTATCTATCTATCTATCTATCTATCTATTTAATCATATCTACCTTTCTTTCTCAGTCTAATCATATCTACCTTTCTATCTCAGTTTAATCATGCCTATCTATCTATCTATCTATCTATCTATCTATCTATCTGTCTGTCTGTCTGTCTAATCATATCTACCTTTCTTTCTCAGTCTAATCATATCTATCTATCTATTTATCTATTTAATCATATCTACCTTTCTTTCTCAGTCTAATCATATCTACCTTTCTATCTCAGTTTAATCATGCCTATCTATCTATCTATCTATTTGTCTGTCTAATTATATCTACCTTTCTATCTCAGTCTAATCATATCTATCTATCTATCTATCTATCTATCTATCTATCTGTCTGTCTGTCTGTCTATCCCAGTATATTTCTTTCTCACTTTATCATTTTCATTATCAGTTTTTATCTCTGCCTGTTCATCTCTCTCTATTTCTTTCTATCATTCTCACTTTCTAATTCTGTTCATTTCTTTCTCTGTTGATCTATCTCTCTATCTGTTCATATCTTCTTCACTCTATCACTCATTTTCACTATATCTTTTATCACTGCTTTCTCTCACTCTCTCTTTCTGTCTTTACCTATTCCTGTCTATCAATCGGAATTGCAGAAATGAAATATTGATTTATCAATTATTGAAAAATAAACAGCTATCACATTCCTGTCACAAGCTTTTAAGGAAAAAGGTCGTTGAGCACCTCTGAAATTCCCATCAGCAAATTGCTTACTTCCCCACCCCAGCCATACATAAAGGTTAAGATTAGTTCTAGTGGAAAGACAGGAAGCCATTGCTATGTGTGCTCCAGAGTTTTAGTCAAACTGAAAGTGAAAGTACATCTTGACTGATTTTGGATCCAATTAATAGATTTTGTGTTTCATTAGCCAACCTGTCATATATATATATATATATATATATATATATATATAGAATGTCTGTCAGACTGACAAGTACTTATCAAAATGGGTTACTTACCTGGCTTATCTTCTCTGGCACAGCACTACGCAATGACGAGAAACACTGACAAATTTAAGGGTTCAACATCGGGTTATGATCATCAAACACATTAGAGCACTTTTAACCTTTTTTTCTTGTTTAAATGAGTTTTTTCTTTATTCCTTTTGTTCTCTTTAAAAGAGAAAATAGAGCCTTACTGAAGCTCTCTTTAGCTGAGTAGCAAACCACGCTGGATCAAACAGTGGTTTCTTCTAGGAAAGTTTAAGCAGGTTTGATCCATACCAGAGAACACATTTTTTTAAGATGTCTGAAATGTGCAGACCAATAGACACTAGTTAAAATAAAAACAGAAATGAGCATTTATTTCAATAGGAATATCCACTATAATAATGTTTGAAATATATATATATATATATATATATATATATATATATATATATATATATATATATATATATATCAAGGTGGCACAGTGGAGTAATGGATAGTGGCTCAGATTGAGGAATTGGTGAGCCAAGTTCAAATTTCAGTCGAATCCATTACATTTCTTTATGTGCTAATACCTGTGGGAAAGGTATGACTCTTTTTCCCACCAGCTTTAAGTAAATAGTCAGAGTGACTGGGTTCTATAGCCTTGGGTGGCAACCAGTCTAGAAGAAGGACAAATCTGAATTCAAAACCTGCGGACCTTGTGGCTTATAGTGCACCACGTCTTTGTATTCGGCTCTTCCAAAAAGTGTAGTTGATTCTGCACAAAGTTTTCACCACTGTATCAAATCATATGTGCAGGTGTCTGGTTGTTGGTTCTAAGAACAGAGATGCTTGACTCTCATATGTCAAAAAACTATGGGAGAATCCAATATATATATCATAAATGTGCCATGTATATGAGGATAAAAGAGATATATAATTTAAAAATGGTGATATTGCACCAAATCTGGAAAGTGCCAACCAGATTAGATACACAGCAATTCTATCCTGTTGAGGTGCAACAACATCATATATTTTAAAATAATTGAGACTTAACAACATATATTTTAAAATGATTGAGACTCAACATCATCATATCTTTTAAAATGATTGCTGGAACAATATTTTTAGTGGTCTTGCTCAAAACCTAATGTTTAAGAGGCTATGATTCTCATTCTTTCAAATTTACAAATACATCTGAATTTCTTTTGAAATTTGCCGCCTGGCTACAGGCTTGCACAATCAGTTGATTGATAAAGTCTGTCATCTTCTTTTATGTTTGTATCACTTTTAAAAACTGTGTATGAAGACCATATTTTTAATTATGCTATGTTATAATTACCTTCAGTCTGAATGTATCATTATTTACATTCAGACTAATATCCTCATCTTTGTTGTTATTATACTAATGTTTTGGTTATTGTGCTCTTTGGACCTCTTCAGGTTTCTCATGATCCAGGTAACATTTCTTTTGATCTCATAGGCCTCAGAGGATTGTTCATTACAAATAACCTTCATTGACCTACCAGCTAGGAAAGACTTGATAACTGGGAACAATTTCCACTGGTTCCATTGCTAGAAAGCTTTTGCAGAAATGTCATGTGCCACACCTTTTCAAAGACCTTAGATACATCTAAGGTGATTATCCACATGAAGTATTTATTGTCTAATGCCTCATTGATTCTATGTATAATAATATGATATCAGCGGTGGACCTAGCAGATCAAAATCCATATTGTTTGTCACTCAGAAAGTTGCCCCTGTTGAGGTGATCAACAACCTTCTTATTGATGGTAGATAGCCTGAAAATGTTTGCTAAGGAGGCTAATGGGCTGATATTGTGATGCGGATCAGTGCTCACTTGCATTCTTGAAAACAGAGCATATGCTTAATAATTTCCATAGACTTGGGAAAGATTCCCACCTCAGGCAGCAGTTAAACAATTTTGCCAAGATTTTAGATAACCTAGAGCTAATGTTCTTAAGAAAAATCACTTAACCTTATTGGGGTTAAGGCTACTGAGAAGTCTGGAAATTTTTTCTAGGCAGTGATAGAGATATTACTGAAGGGGGAAGCTGGGAAAAGGATGGCCTGTGTCATCTGTCACAGAGCTTTGCCTTATCTGATGAGGATGAGACAACGTCAGGGCTATTTATGATATTAGGTGCTAACATTTAACGCCTATTGTGAGTTTTGTTAGAGATTTTCCAGGATGCACGGATTCTTTTGATCTTAGCTTGGACTATACTTTGTATTTTCTAGAACTCTCTTGAAATGATTGCAGGCACTTCTAAATGTAGAAAGATTCCTGCTACACCATTTTCTGTGGTAGATAATGTAGTAGTGGTTATAGCAAGCTATGTCTGCAATACATTCTGGCATATACCAGGGCTGGCTATTTGGTTTTGGTTGGAATTTTTTCTGGGAGAATAAGAGTTTCTGTGCCAGAAAGGATCCATTCAGAGATGAGAATGGCACTTCTGGAGGCTCTATATCTGAAGAATGCTGAGAGAGTATCTTCTACCATGTAAAATCTGAAGCTCTCCCTATCTGAAGCATTGATGTTGTTGTGGTGTCCTCCCTCTATAGTCTATGTTGGACTCTTCCGCCTACTATGAGATTAGTAGGAGAGAAGGCCTTGGTGGAATAGTCGAATAGATTGAATGCTGGGTCAACCGACACACACTCACTAGTTGTGTAATACTCTTCTGTTGTACTTACTGTTTAATATATGATATAACTGCAACACTTGTTTTGTTATTTCTTTAATGATTTACTTGGTCACAACAGATGTACAAAAAGATGGTCTTATGAAATAACACATTACATCACTGTACAGCATACAAAATTAGACAAGCAATTAATAAGTACTCTATGTATTGTAGATATTTCTTATTTTATGTGCTGTGTCCCTTCAGGAAATTGGTGATCATAGCTCTCCACAATTTCCTGTCCTTTGTAGCTTCTAATAAATTTTGTCTTTTTGCCATCTGATATGTCCCGGAAAGGGATATATTTGTTCGAATTAGCAAAGTGGTTGTTGACTACTGTAACCAGATAGGACAATCTAGCAGGTAACCGTCATGGACTGGTCCTCGTCATAGTAATTGGCAATAGGCGTAGGCAATAGGCGAAAACAATAGGTGTTGTCAATAGATGTCGTCCATGTACCTCCACATCAGTCTGTATTTATGGCTGACACCAGCCATTCATATTACTGTGAGGGGGAACCCAGGTGTATGTATAATCATTACATCACTATCTCCCCTAAACCTTGCTCTAGCATCCATTTACTCAAGTTTGCATGGTAGGTTATGTATTGTTTTCTTCTGTCTCTCAATCTATCCTGTGAGTATCAAATTTTACGAGACCTCTTTTCTCATTGTGTTCCCTAGAAATTTCAGCTTTCTTTTCCTGATGTTAAGTATAAGCATTGTTTCAGTCCATGGTATTCTCAGCATCCTTCTGTAGAAGCACATTTCTGTTGATTCTTCTTCATCTGTAGAGAGATCACGTAGCTTTCACTTCTGTAGTGGCGGACTGATATTTCATAACAGTTCAGCACTCTATTCTTTGTTTCTAATGATTTTTTTTCTGTTT